AAGATATGACAAAATAATAATAATTTATAAATTATCAAGGGTTCGTGAGGGAGAAGGGAACAGGGAGGGAGGAGAAAAAATGAGCTGATACCAAGGGCTCAAGTAGAAAGCAAATGTTTTAAGAATGATGATGGAAACAAATGTACATATGTGCTTGACACAATGGCTCTATGTAGGATTGTGATACGAGTTGTACGAGCCCCCAATAAAATGATTAAATAAAAAAAGAAAAGGAACATAGCTCTTAACCTCTCCTGTGTGACATCTACTGAGAGTCCCAAACAGGGATCCCCACGCTGAACACCTGCACTCCGGGCTTTCTCAAGCTCGAGGAGATGACCGGCAGCCCCCTGCATCTTCAGAGTTCAGTGGCCCGGAACCACCAGGGGCACAGCGAAGAGCTTCCTCCGAGCCCCTTCCCAGGGACAGCAGTGTGTGCCCTGGTGCAGCCTCACTGGGCTTGAATCCTGGCCCATCGCGCCCTCGCTAGGCCATCTGGGCAGCCACTTGCCCTCTCTGAGCCTCTGCTTCTCGACTGTGACGTGGGACTGCAGTACCAAGGCCACACTGCAGGGGTGAGGATTGGGCAAAGTCCAGGCAAGTGTCAGGGGCCCTGGTGGTAGAGTGGGCTCAGGGTTGGGCTGCTAATCGAAAGGTCAGCAGTTCAAACTCATTCGCCGCTCTGTGGGAGAAAGAGAAGGCAGGCTGCCTTGGAAACGTTATGGGGCCGCTCCACTCTGTGCTCCAGGTGCTCGCTCTGAGGCAGAACCAACCAGCCAGTGGTTTCGCCGAGCAAGTAACGGACCAACCCCATCTCCTATGGAAGGAGCAAGGTCTTCACCTGTTCCCTGAGGGTGAAATTGTACAAACAGCCCAGGCCTGGCAAGTGGAGCCCCCAGACCAGTGCTTGTCAACCGAGACCCTTTCATACAGTTCCACATGTGGTGGTGACCCCCCAACAATAAAATTATTTTCGTTGCTACTTCATCACTGTAATTTTGCTACAGTTATGAATCAGGTGACCCCTGTGAATGGGTCATTAGACCCCCCCAAAGGGGTCGCGGCCCACAGGTTGAAAACCGCTGCCCTAGACGCGTCTGCAGAGATGCTGGGTGGGGCTTGTCAGCACTCTTCCCCAGCTGCCCACTGGAGGGCTCACCCCTGCCTGGTTGGCACTCACTCGTAGGCACTTTATTTCCAAGGCCTTTGGTGGCTGCCCCTGCGTCAATGACAGTAAGCAGGCAGAATCACTCCTCGCCAGGGTGGCTCTTCGCCTCTGGCTGCTCATCAGTGCCGCCTAAGTGCCCTCCAGCGCTCAGCTCACCACCACGTGCTATCCTTGAGGGTCACTCTTATCTGTGCAGCCCACACTGACCAGGAAGCTTATGGGAGTCACATAGAAACATCCGCTCCATGTCCCCCTGCCCGAGTTCCTGAGAACACAGCTAACGTCTGTCCCTCCCAGGCTGTATCCACGTTCCAGGCAAGAGAGAAGAACTGGAGCCTGCCCCCCAAACCACACAGTGCCAACACTGCTGCCCTCCCCCCATATACTCACGCCTTGACATCTGCTGTCTCCTGGGACGTGCGTGTGAGGGTGCGGGAGCGCAGGCGCTCGCCCGCCTGCTGGATTTCCTGTAAGTTCCGTTCCACGTGGGGTAGCTCTGAGATGCCCTCGGTCTCCGCGGCAAGCTGTTCAGCTTGCTGAAGGAGCTCTCCAAACCCCTCGGTATCCATTGGCGATGCAGGTCCTGACCGGTGGGGGAAAGGAGAGTTCTCAATTGAGGGAGAGAAGGAGAGGCTTCACATACTGCCTGAATATGCCCAGCACCTAACGAAACACGAGGACTTTCTGTCAGCAGACCACGGGACTGCTCATCCCCAGCAGGATTTGTTCCTGAGCATCCTCAAGAACAGGCCTGCTACAGGGAAGATGAGTCAGCCTGGAAGTCGGCCTCAGAACAGAGCCAAGATTAATGGCTGCCACCAGGACAAATGCGGAATCCCCCCCCACCTCCTTTTACAGGCCCAAGAAGATGAACAGTCTTGAACCCACCACCTCCTGCTCCTCCAGTCTTAGGAAGACACCACCCAAGCTTCCGTCTCCCGTGATTCTGTGAGGTCTCTGAGTAGGTGGGAAATAACTGCGGTCCCCAGAAGCTGTTAGGGGCCGACTGCTCCGCTGCCCTCAGGCGCGTGAGACCAGAAAAGGACAGACCTTGTGACGAAACCCATGTTATTCTCACATACCTACCTGCTCCTTGAATAATCAAAAGGACTTCCCTTTTTCATTTATGTTCAGGTCCCCATTCATACACCCACCCACCCCACTTTTAGCTTATAAGGTTATTGAAGGTGGAGATTCACGTTGGCTTACAATATGACTTTCATATTAGACTGTAATTATTACTATACCGACTACTACTATAAATAGCAGCATGGTTCTAGATCACAAAGATGCTTGAGCAACAACCTGTTTCTCCAACATTTGGTTTTTTAAGCCCTGTGAACAGTACTGATAGGTTAAAAGATACTATACATTTTTAAAATCTGTATGTAGGTTCTTGACCAAGAGAATGGTTTAACTCCTACTACTACTGCAACTACACAGAAGATAAAAAGTGCCCTCATAAAAATTTCACTTCACTAACAGGGTAAGAACCTAATTCTTTTAACAGTTGGCTTTTGGATTAAACTTTTCTTCCTCTGTCTTGCACACACGGGGTGCGATGACTAACTTCATACAGCCTGTCAAGCATGCGCTCACTGGGCAGATGTATTACACAAGACCTCCCAACAGTACTAATGGTAAAGAGAGATGCTGCCTCTGAGGAAGGACTGAGGTGTGCCTGACCCAGGCCATGCATGGGTGGTCTGCTCGATGGCTTCTTGCGCAGGTTAAAGGTGTACAGTGACTAGGAGCCCGCAGACGGGTTGATGGCTGAATCACAGTGCTGGGAGAAGAGGGCTGAAATGCCATGCACTGCCAGAACAACGAACCAATCTGCCCCAGGTAAAGTAGAGCCAGAATGTCCCCGAGAGGCGAGGGTTGTCTCTGTACCTCAGGAGAGGCCAAACCAAAAAAGTCTCGCTGCCACTGAGTGGATTCTGACTTCCAGTGACCCTACAGAACTGCCCCTTTGGGTTTCTTTATAGAAATCTTTATAAAAGAGATAGCCTCATCTTTCTCCCATGAAGCAAAGGGTAGGTTTGAACTACTGACCTTTGGGTTAGCAGCCCAATGGGCAGTCTACTATACCAGCAAGGCTCCTTTCAGTAGAGACCAATCCCTGGAAAATGACGGCCTCTTTGGTAGAAGGTCAGCGAAAAGTACTATGAAAAGTAACTATGTGTTGGAGCCAATTCGACAGCCCCTCACAACGGCAGTACAAAGGTGTATGCATTGGGTCGCTGACTAAAAGCTGGCAATTCAAACCCATCAGGAGAAAAAAGTGGTCTGCTTCTGTAAAGATTACAGTTTCGAAACCCTACGGAGAAGTTCTACTCTATCCTATAGGGTCACTATGAGCAACCCACAACAGCAGTAGTTTTCCTACAAAATGTGTGAGTGGAACCTGCTTGTGGCCCACCATGGGGATTGGACAGCACAGTTAAGAATGCCAACAAGGTACATGGAAACTTTCAGGGATAAAATCTTGCAAATAAGATATAAGGAGCCCTAACCAGAGGCTTGGTCAGTTTTACCATTCTGCTAGGTTAAAGAGAGTCAATCCCAGAATAGAGGGGAACTCACTACCATCAAGAAGGAAGAGCGGGGCATGTAGTGTGTTCTTTGGACCCTAAGAACCTCTGAGACTCAGGAGACAGCAAGAGCCGTAGCAGAGCCAGGAGACAAGAGCAAGCCAGCACAGTGGGCTTCCTGGCCCAGGAAGTGAGGCAGCAACAGCGGGAATGTCAACCCACGGAGCAAGAGAACTGAGTGCCTTCAAGCCAAGACTTACTGGCAGAGCTGGATGCCTCTGAGCACTTAATGGTAGTGCTAAAGTGCTTTGGAACACCAGCCAAAGCAGGGCAGAGGCCTGTCCCCACTAGGGACTGGGAGGAGACTTGTCCCCAGGGGGCCAAAAGGAGACTGCACTCAAGAAAGGGGGCACTGCCTTTGTGCTTCCTGCTCGGGACCCCAAATGACAATCTGTTACTTCCCTCATCAGCCCCTCCCTGTGAACAGGCCCAGGGGCTGTGTGTGGTCACTGCAACCCATGACTGAGCCCAGCAGAGTTAGTGTGGCAGGGAGGGACAGCTGGCGTCAGGACTGGTAAAGCTGGGAGAAGGGGCATGCTGGAGCCAGTTCATAGGAATCGGTCTTGGCTGCTTAGGTGGCGATTCTCCCCCTTTGTGATGTTAGAAGAAGCCTGGTATCTGAAGCCGTTGTCACACATGGCTTCTCCTGGACTTCTGAAACCCAACGTCGTTCTGACGTCAATGTAAAGTGTGGCACTGTCTGCGAGATGAAGCGCCAGTTTATGTTAACAAACCCACAGCAGGAGAAGAGGCACTTCTCAAAATACCCTCTGAAAGATGCTTCCTTCAAAGGCAAGGGCACAAGGTTAGAAGAAAATCTCCCGGGAGAGTAGACCTGAAACTCTGGTCATTCTTTATGAAGCTCCAAGCCGCCTTTCCTCTTAAGACAAAAAAAAAAAATCATATATGCGGTCACTCTTCCTCAATTTCCAGGTCATCCTTGTCATTCCTGTGAACCAACACAATCCAACAGCACCAGAGGCTCCTCCAACTGTGAGGACACCAGTCCGGGAGAGGTCTCTTCAGGACAGGGGGGAAAAGGCAAGCCGGTGTTGCTGCCTGATACAGAAATGTCTTCCTCAAAAACATGCAAGACCAGTGACACAGTCACTCACCAGAGAAGAAAGGACACCAACCCTGGGGCTCCTCCTGCCTCTCTCCTTTCACTCTCTGACAAAGGAAACACACAACTTCCTCTAGCTCTTTGGTGCTTCCTTCCCCCACTATCATGACCTCAAGTCCACCTTACAAATTGGATTAGACCAGAGCATGCACACTGCTACAGATAAGAGCCCGCAAAAAAAGCAACACAGGGAATCCAGGACTGATAAACCCATCAGGGCCAACAAAGAGAGTAAAGATACCAGGAGAATTAGGGGAAGGTGAGTGGGAGAAAGGGGGAACCAATCACAAGGATCAACCTAGAACCCCCTCCCAAGAGGACAAATAACAGTAAAGTGGGTGAGAGGCGACGGAGGACGATGTAAGATATGGAAAAAATAATCTAGGGCTCAGGGGGAAAAGAATGCTTTGAAAATGATGATGGCGACATATGGGCAGATGTGCTTGACATATTGGAGGAATGTATGGATTGTGATAAGAGATATAAGAGCCCCAATAAAAGTATTTTAAAAACAAACAAAAAACAATTTGTCTAACAATCCAGGAAAAGGAAGGAAAATTTCAGAACTCAACAAAGAGAGGAACCCAGCGCGACAAAGCTTCCCTAAGCTGGAGGGCAAACAAGCCAACTACAGGGAAAGGAAGAAAACTTGGGGAAAAAGAAGACATTAAACATCTTGCTCCCATATTGTACGTACAAACACAACTCTGACCTACCCGGTCAGTGCACCCTTCATCTCAGCGCGTGATGCTAGCACGGCGGCCCTTTGGGTCGTGGCAGATCCGACCGTTTCCGTAGAGACTCCGCTGAGGCCTCTGTAACTCCTACCACTTGCGCAGTATGCCAGCAAAGCTTTTGTCCCCTGTGCCTCTCCAACCTTGCTCTATGCTCAGTCCATGGGCATGGGCTCTGCGCACAGCCTCCGCCCTCGGCCCTTGCTCTGTGCTCAACCTAGCAACCAGTGTCTCTTTCAACAGACCCCACCGACTCAGCTGAACTCCCTGAGAACCAAGCAAACACCTACAGCAACAACTCCACCCCGACAAGCTCTGATTCATCTCCAGCCCCAACGTCCCTCCTTCCTCGGGGTCCTGTCCTGGAACCTTGGTACTTTGGAATCCTCGTCCCCAAATCCTCTGCCCCAGACATGCCTACTCCTCTCTTTCTCTCTCTCAACTGTCCCCTAGCCCTTGGCGTCATCCTGGAGTACACAACCCACTGACAGCACTCCTCCTGCCACAGGGTTCTTCCCCCGCCAGAGTATAAGCCCCACAAGGACAGAAGTGTGTGTAGGACACACTGGGCTCGTTGTGCATCGTTCCTCTCCAAGGCTTCCTGCACTCCCTGGACAAAGTGGCACCTGCTGGATTGCAGAGAGAAAAGCAGGCCCTTCCTACTCCGATGGCGACGTCCTATTTCAGAAGCTGCATAGCATAAGGCAGCAGCAGGATAAATGGCATGGAGTCAGACCACCCTGAGCCAGGCTAGGGCTTCGCCTCTAAACACACAGACAAACACCAGTGGTAGTATAGAAGCAATCACCAAGTGTTCAGGCAGAACTGAATCCCCATCCAAAGGATAAATGGTGACAGATAGGAAGCATTTGTGCAATGTACCTTCAGAATAGGAATGCATGCTGCATGACAAAGAGAACGCATTTGAGGAAAATGGCTCAGTCTTGTATCATAACTCGACCAGTGGAAATCAATTTTATAAAAATTAAAGGTTCAAGACCTATACTGTTGAATGTACTTGGCATTCTAACTCACTATTTTCGATTCATGGCTGGTTCCATGAATATGTAAAGATAATTTTTAACTATTCCACAAAGTAAAAAGAAAGTTTGCCATAAAATATAGGGGCTGA